TCTCTCTCTCTCTCTCTCTCTCTCTCTCTCTCTCTCTCTCTCTCTCTCTCTCTCTCTCTCTCTCTCTCTCTCTCTCTCTCTCTCTCTCTCTCTCTCTCTCTCTCTCTCTCTCTCTCTCTCCATCTCTCTGCCTATCTCGATCCAACCGTTGGATCTAACCGTTGAATCTAACATCTAACCGTTGGATCTAACCGTTCTTTCTAACCGTTGGATCTAACCGTTGGATCTAACCGTACGATCTAACCGTACGATTTAACCGTCCCATCTAACCGTCCGATCTAACCGTTCGATCCAACCGTACGATCCAACCGTTCGATCAAACGGTTTATATCAAAGCAATACTTATATGTATTGCGCGAAAGTCATAGCAGTGTCTAAACATAAGGTTAATATACGTGTCAGCGCTGTGTGACGAGGTTTGGTTTGATCTAAACTGGACGCGCGCAGTTCGATCTAATTAGATCGAACAAATGGTTCGATCTGATTTACATCTTGGTGACAGTTACTCTGCCGCGCCGCGCACTCAACTATGCTTCTCGCAACGACATCGTCAATTAATAATTATTTGTAATATCTGAAATGTTTGTGCAATTCCGACACCAATTACATAAGACTAAGAGTAAGTTATCCAAGCCAAGGGTTGCGTAACTTCTTGGTCTTCCAGTACATAAATACTATCACACGAAAACCGACCAATTACAAATCAATGTCCCCGTTCAGTTAACCGCTGGTTTTGTAGCGCGATGCGTTACTGCGCGATGCGTTACTGGGCTTCTCTGGCTAGATCGGCGAGATGCGCTACTGTGCCGCGCCGAGCTGCCATGAATTGACATCGTCAATTAACCGCTGGTTTAAGTCAAGGCCAAACTATAAACCCTAAACGTTTGTAATTTATAAACCACACCAGGCCTGATGTGGTTCACGAAGCAGTTTGGGACGTATTCCCTGATGACGGTGTTTGGAGTGGAGAAGGTGATGATTGCCTATTTCCGTGACAAAGTCCACTACTCCAAACAGACTGCGTACATTACGAGTGTTCTGGTGTGGTGTCTGGTCGCTGTTATTGTGGCACTTCCCATTGGTGAGCTTTGACCAGGATTTGTATTGCAAATTTATTCCGATTCGAGAATCACGTAATTATTGTCTTCAGCTTCGCTGATATCATGTTTCCATGACGGTGAGTATATTCGTCTTTGATCTTGTAATATCTTCTTTATTCAGTGGCTGGATGTAATTACCAAGGAAGTGAGTCAGGGCTGATAGAGTTCTCAGGAGACTGGTATCTCCTCAACATTCCAGTATCCTACTTCGAGTGGACCTACACCATCCTCCCCATCCTTTACTATCTCCTAGCCTGGGCTACCACCATCAAAATCCTCATCAAGTTCACCCACCAACTAACGGAAAGACAGGAAAATGTTTTGGTTGCCGTACCACTACGAAGAGAAACACGAATACAGCAGAATCACAATCCTCGGGCACTGTTGTACTTGATTAACTTTATCGTGACGTTCACACCTTGGATTGTTCTAGTGGGGTTCAGGATGATAGACTTGTTCGAGTGGAAGCATGCAGTTTTGGCAAGAACAGCGCCAGAGAGCTTGACTTTTACGGCGGGAATACTTTTGTTGACTTTGAATGCTATTTTTAATCCTATCATATATTTCATTGGGCGATAAAATTACGATGGTAATACATTAATACCTCGTTATTATATAGCGCGGACCACGTTGTCAAATTAAATGGGACAGATATCTGGGATAGAGTTCACAACTCAGTAGTCTGTACAGTGTACATAGTAGCTATAGATTAAGAATTGTAAACAAGATTCATTTGTTACAGTGCACAGTGGAGTTCCCACCTACGAGTGAAAACTGAGAGGTGGCGCGCCTGATGATAAGGTATGATAATGTCAGCCTTGCGGCGCGGCTGACATTAGCTTTCATTACGTTTGAATTATCGCATATACTCTGCATACACCGCGCCACCTTTCAGGCGCGCCACCTCTCAGTTTTCACTTGTAGGTGGGAACTCCACTGTAATGACTACTGCTGCAGTGGACACAGCTGACTCGACACAGCATCTTGTTCTGTTCATTACGATGATTTCAGGAAGCATCTATTACTATACTGGTATACTCTATTGCATAGTTTCCTTCAAAGAGTTAAAAATTTTTTGTATTGTTCATTTTAATAATTTAACCTAAACAGTAGACAATGAAATTAGGGTAATCTTTGATGAAAAATTTTGTTATAATATTATGATGATTTGGTCCCTATATGTCACTTTTATTAATCTATGTTGTTTTGTTTTCAATAATTTTCTTAACATTGCAAATGGCAACCCGATACTATTAGCTTATATTATTAGGCCGGCCGGTTTAATCATAAAGTGTCTTAATGAATTTATATATCTGGTATTTCCAATTGTGAAGTTCTACTGCGCTTCTCTTGAAAACGATATATCGTGTATATATACACAATATATGAAACTAGGGAAATCTGAATGAGATAATATCAACTATAAGAAATACACCAGAACATAATAAACACATTTATCTAAGATTTAACTAAAACGTTTGTTCCTCTTGTTGATCATTATTGGCTCCCATAAAATTAAAAGCCGCCTCAAGAATAATTTAAACATTTAATTTTTATTCTGAGAAATTGAAACCATAATTGAGATCATCAGCTTTTTGGGGTTCTTGTAGAAAATGGTTCCAAGTACATAGCTACTTTCATGGTTTGGTGTCCGATCTAAATTGTGATGCCACAAAAATGAACAAATTCGTTCATCTTATATATCGAATTCTTAGATTAGACAAAATACCATAATTGAAATGGAATGCTTTAATTGGATTAGCAAACAAACAGATGAACTTGGGATTAAAATTCAAGAGCAGCTTCAAACTTAAAGAAAATCTAAAATTTAAAAGTGATAGCTTTGAATATCAAATAGTAATCAGGCAATAATTTTGAAAAATGACTCATTCAACGCTCTTAAAAATATATATAATAGTTCTAGATACCGGTGGGGAAGTGAACCATATTTACTTTGGTACGTGACAGTGAATCTGGGTCCTGATTGGACAATGCTGAGAACTAGTTGGGTTACCTCACCACCAACATCCAGATCTGAAGGTCCGGCCAAATCGTCTTTTGTGTGCGATTTTAAAAGATTGATCGCAATTAATTAATATTCACAAATAACAAGCAGATAACAAATCTTTCAACTCATAAAACTTAAATTTCAAAGTGTCTACATAGCTAACGTAGCATGTTCTACAGTCCACGCCCATGTTGCACATCAAGGGCTTATTCGTGGATTAAAAAGTACGTTTCTTAACAATTTTACGATACCGTAGAAACTGAATCTCAATGTTCATGACATTATTACTGATCGTAAAATGAGTATTTCTTAACGATGAAATTTTAGTTATTTGAGAATTGGGCAACTCTCTGCAGTTTTTTATTGAACTCCATGATGTGATGGTTTTCACTGTGTCACGTGACTAAATATTAAACGGTCTTTATTACGTTACAGTCACGTGACACGACAGATCCGATAAGCTTTTTATTAGAACCATAACTTGGAGAGTTGTGTCTGATTTATATCTCTAGACTTGAAATGAGGAATTGTTGAGGGTCGATCCCAAAGATTTGTATCCTCATCACCTGAGATTAAAATATAGTAACTACGTAGGTTTATCTTATAAACAATAAAAACATGAGCAGTAATGCAAAACTACCACATACACATATGTCGAGGATTAAAGATTTCAAGCTAAATTTGTTTATGTATATTGTATGTGCTCCCTCTATGTCCAACGTACGAACCTCTTTGGAGAGAGTGATTTGCGTTTTTTAGGTGTTGAGAGTCTTCCGATAATGTTTTCAACTTGACCCATTCTCCTTATCTTTACTGATATCTGATAAGGCGTCAGACCTGAAATAACCAAATTCATTCAAATAAAGAGTCTGCGAAATCTTGCGAAATATGTATATTATATTATGATGATTATGTTAAAATTTGAAAGGATCTTTACATTTAGGGAAGTTCTTCCTGATTCGATAAAGATTTAACGTCTGAACGATAACACTATTTTTTAAACGACTAAATAAAATGAATAAACTGTACTAAGGACCTCTGTTTGAGTGTTCTGAAGGGACTTGCTGAGGAGAAACCTCTTTGTACTCGATACCAGGCCGTTTTCCTTTGCATACATTCCCATTCTTCTTCGGATAGTTCTTCTTGACCGTGAGAGGAAGTTCAGGAGAGTTTCCCTGTGGTGCATAACACGCATACTTGTTGAACCTGGAAACCACTCCATTGGGTTGCTGCTGTGAGTTCATAAACTTATCAAAACTAGGATCATTGCTGGTCCTAATCTGCTCCATTAAAATGCTGTACGCATCAGAGGACCGCATGGTTCTGACGTTTTCCCCGATGGGCTCGATGTTGGGGAGCGGTTCCACAAGGACAGGACGGTGACGTCTGAAGCGGCCAGGAGCCACCCAGGGCGGAAAGAGAGGAGCTCCCTCTGTCTGGGAGAAGGAGTCTGTGGGTTTCTTGTTGACGATCTGATATCCCTGGAAAGGGACGGACGGCTCAAAGGGGGAGTATAGGGAGTTGTTAGCCGGGTACTGAGTCTGACATGTCCTCTGCTCGATAGTGGGCGCTACCCGAGTGTTATCCTCGTTGCTGAGAGTGCGAGGGGATGGTCTGGATACTTTTCTAGCGCTCAAGAGTGGTTCTACCAGCACTGAACTGAGTGGGGAGTTTGTGTAGTCGAGGAAGGGACTGTAGGGCGGGAACATGTCCGTTTGGATGGCTATATCCACCACGTTGTCTTGTCTCTGCACGATGAAGACTAGGACGGGAGTTGAGACCTCTATAGCAGAACAGTGTTTGCTGTGGTTAGGGAACTGGGTCTGGACCGTGCGTTGCTCCACAGGAATCCTCACAATCTCCTGACCTGACTCGTTACGCTCTACTATCGGGAAGGTGCTCTGCATTGACAGACGTCTACCATCCATCCAGGGAGACAGAGGGTTATTCTCAAAACAGTTCATTCTACTGGAGTCCTTCTGTTGATCTTCAAAAGGAGCAGAGGAGCTGGGAGGCTCCAGATACTGATCGTATATAGAATGCTGGGGACTCCACGAGTTTGACTGCTCGTCAATAGCCCAGGAGGAGCTCTGAAATTGTTCGAAACTCTCGTGCTGGCGTCTCCACTGGTTCCACTCAGGGTTTTCCTTGGGAGTGAGGTCGTCAGGTTTGGAACTGAAGAGGACGGTGGGAGGTTTAAATGTGTCCACAGACTCTGAACTGTCGTGGTAGTTCATCCTAACGTAACTTGGTTTCGGTTTAACAAGGTGTTCGTTCGAACTAAGAGGAGCCTTGATGAAGTCATTCAGCGAGGTGTTCGCAAACAAAGAATCATTCCGTGGAAAGGGTTCCATGTAGGTGGGTTCCTGCGTCGGGAATACAGTTTGTTCATCAGCTAGCATCTCATCAAACAACCTCTCTGCAACCGACATGTCTCCTTTTTGACGGGACGCGGAGGTGGGTCGTCTTTCATCTGACTTGTAACCTCCACTCCCTTTACCACTCTCCTTAAAATCTTCTGAGGTCTCGTCAACTACCCTTATCTTCTCATCGCTTCCTCGACGTGTTTCAGAGAAAGCATCTATGTACAAGGGAGCTCGTCTGTGCTCGAAGTCTGAGGTGGAAGTAGCAGGTAGGTCAGATTGGAAATGGTTGGCTGTGCTAGTCTTCACAATGTTCGGCTTGATGTTAAACCGTTCCAGAGAATTCCGTATCCTTATGGGGCTAATACGACTAAAGTCAGAAGTAGGAGGGACATCCTGTGGGACACTGACACTCTGGCTCGGTTCAATGCTAGCCACGACCTTCTTCATTAGGGTCGCATTTTCAGATACGTTATTTTCAGATACGTTATCAAAACTTTTATCCGTGTTCACAAGCAAATCAGAATTATCAGCCTGCATTCCAGGACTTTTTATCAAAGTATCTGCAATATCGGGTTGTAGTGCTGACTCCGAAGAAAACACTCCATCCTTAGAAACTCCTTCATTTCCTCCTTGTTCTAATTCTTCCACTTTAACGGTGGGAAGTTCAAACTCCTCAGGGGGTTTTGTTTCTCCTACAACAGCAAGTCCTTGATTATATATCTCTTGGTCACTCATTGGAAACAGTGTGCGTAGGACAGACATTTTGGTAGCTTCTTCATCGGGGCTTTCAGCTTGGGGCTTGTTTTTATTGTTTTCTTCAGCTGATTTCAAGGATTTTTCAAAAGCTTTGCTTTCCTTGAACCTTTCCAACACGATATTGAACACATTAGCTTGAGGGTCTGGGATGTCCTTGATTGTGGAGGCAAACAGTTTGTACATGGTCTCAGTATCATCAAGTGTCTGTATGTTTCCTGCCTCGATAAGTCTGTCTATCTGAGCAGTCAGGCCTCGGTTTTCCTCCGCCTCTTCATCTGACTCATCAGCCTTGTTCACAGTCGGTGTGATTTTAGACCAGGCTGATTTAGGAGGGGAGAAAGGTGTGTTCAACTTTGCTGCACTATCGAACTCTGATTCCTCCATGACGTCGAGAGAGGTTCTCCCTCGGGGATGAGATGCAGACATCCGGGCCCGACCTTGCATTCTCCTGCCGTATACGTACTTCAGCGTCTTCTTAGCGTTGGTTTGTTGTACCGAGGTTTTTGGTTTGATGTACAGGAGGGTTCCTTCTACGGGCTCCTCTTTTATCACGGAGATATCCTCAAAATCAACAGGTTCCTCTTTCACTGCCACTAAAGGTTGCACCTCTATCTGCTTTAACTTTTTGACACGTTTTCTGAATATCTCCACCATCAGCATCTGATCAGGCTCTAACTGCTCTTGCTTTATTTTTAATGTTTCTGGCTGGACAATAGTTTCAGGTGCTGTGTCAGATGATTCCTTTAAATCGGGTTTATTGACTTTCGGCGAATCGGTGGCAGGAATAATTGGAGACGAATTGGTTTCAGCATATGTTTCATCGACAGGCTCTGTTTTAATCGCAAATGGAATGCATGGCTTTTTATGTTTTTTCGTCTTTTGCTTCCTCGCCTCTTCCTCAATGTGGGATGTCGGATGAACGATGTCCTCGGTCGCTGTATCAGTATTTTCATCAGATCTACTGACTTTAAATGGTATATTAAGCGATACAGAAGACAAATTGATTTCAGATGATGTCTCATCGACAGGCTCATGTTTTATGGAAAAAGGAATGCACGGCCTTTTATGTTTCTTCTTTTTCCGCTTTCTGGATTCTTCTTCGCTGATGGGCGATGGTTCCTCAGTATTTGGAATATTAGGTGTGATATTTTCACTATTTTGTGAAGGAGGATGGATTGATGTGGATAGCTCAGCTGGACGCGTCAATGCACCCCTCTGTTGAAAGCAAGGAGCTGATGAGTATTGTTCAGAATCAGTGCTTAATATTGGTTCAGGGTGATTTCTGACACAGTCAGATTCGGAGCATTCTACAGGCTCTGATTTAATAAGAGCGTTGTGGTGATCACAATCCATCATTTCTCGTTTCACGGCCAGAAGGGGGTTTGGATTGACTGACATGTCCTCATAATCCATCGGCTCTGGTTTGATCGTCGGAGCCATATAAGGGTTTCTGTTGACTTGATCTTGATTACTAAAAGTAGGATAATTAATCTCTTGCTCAAAGCACCGAGGATTGCTTGTTAAATCCTGAGATATGGAGGTGGATTGCTGCGAAGAACACGAAGACGGAGGTCGAGAGTAAGAGTCGAGTCTGGCCACCCTTTGAGAGACTGAGTATGGTCGTGATTTCCCGTGCGAGGTACCAGACTGAAACTGAGTCATGAATTCTTGGAGCTTCTCCTCCTGCAGGGTAGCATCGGGACTTGTACTTCTACACTTTTTTCTGGCGGCCCATCTGGCAGCTCGATTACTGTCGGGAGGATACCTTTTTCTCAGAAACTCCTGGATGTTGTGACTTATCCGGATCTTCGGCACAAGAACCACAAGACTTTGCATTTTCTTTCTCTTGCGTTGGTACATGGGACGATGTTCTCGCGTTGAACTGGTGCTCTGCTCTCTCATGTGGAACTCATCCATATCCTCACACTGCTCTTGTCTCAAACTTTCAAAATATCTCTTAGCTCGTGCCAGCAGGCCCGGATCCTTCATGTCTGTCTCCCCATAGTGCGGGTCAAAGTGGGGTGCATCAAACTCTCTAGTATCATTCCCCTCTGCAAAGAACGAGTACAGTCCATACTGATAGCTGGTTAGATCGACAGTCTTGTTCAAGTTCCTGGCTACTTTAGAAGGATTGAACCTGCCAACAGGTCGAGATGAGGTCTGGGTCTCAGGGAGAGTGGTTGAGGTAGCAGGGGGGTGAACACGTGAACATTGTTCAGGACTACAAGGTTCAGGCTTTATCACTATCGGAGGAGGAGCGTCAACTATCTCTTCTTTAATGTTTACTCCTGAAAAGAGCAAAATTTCAGTTTCAAATTGAATATCTGAATATCTACAGATATCTGCAATCTCGTACTTAATTCAAAATGAGATAATTGGTTCGCACGGCCGTGACAACACAATCGACAATAGAATGACACACCATTTATTTTTCTCTCGCGATCAGACGGTATCCTCTAATACGAAATAAACTTCGGAACAGGTTTTCCGACGACTTCAGTTCAACTGCAGTATATTATATGACTTCAGTTCAACAGCTGCAGTATATTATATGACTTCAGTTCAACTGCAGTATATTATCATGATTATAATATGACAGCGAAAGTTTCACTTACCAAAGTTTTCAGGGCATGTTTCCATCTTCTGAGTCAAATCTTTCACGCCATATTTCCCTTGCTGAAGTAGGCATGTCAGTGAATCACTAAGTATATTATTATTAATTGAATGACATAATTTCCACCGATACGGTAACATTATTCTATACGATATTGTGATCTAATAGGCAAGGTTAACTTTAACCCTTTCCAAATATACAGAATTATCCGTATGTAACCAAGCCAAATATACAGAATTATCCGTACGTAACCAAGGAGACTTAATCTAACAGGGCACATGCCCGCAGCTTCATATTTATAACTCTGCTTATAATTTACATTATAGTCAGTCACTCCAGTGATTCCGGTGTACAGTTTACTTGACTAAATGATAAAACAAGTGCATGACAGAGAAATCAGCAACCGGATTTGCCATGAAGCAGATTAATAATTGGAGTAGAATTCTAAGACGCGCAATGCGCGCGTCATTTTTTGATCAACAAAGTTCAAGCCGTGGCCTATCTAGCAAGGAAAAATGTTCTTAAAACTAGCAATAGGAGAGAAAATGCGCTTGCAGGAGTTAACTTAATAACATTTCTAGGGCCTTCTGGACAGAATACCACGTTGACCGATGACACATTATACCAATTATACAGAAGTCAGTAACATACACGAACAATCTGCTGAAAAAACCATTATAACAGTAAATGGGATAAATCACTTAAACAAAAGATCATTCAAAGCAGTCCCGCTGCTACGAGCTACGAAAATAAACAAAATAAATCTGAGACATCAATCGAAATAGATTCTACAAACACAACCTCAAAACGTCATTAAAAATCCATAAAAAACGAATAAAATTAAGTTAAAACAACAAACAAGGCCCTACTAAACAACAAACTCGAAAATCTAGAAAATTCTAAAGTGTTAACAGCAGAATGAACAGAGATAAGAAGGTACTCGTTTGATTTGACACGTGACACTTCAACAGAGCAACACATAAACCCGCTAAAGTAGAGCCTGAAGGTAAAAAACACCTCTTATTGATGACTTAATTAAGGAGAGATACACCAAAACCGTTTTTGCTCCGAACATCGATTTTATTTTATATTATTTTTAAATAGACAAAAAGAATAAGATTGTACACCTTCAAAAAAATTTTAAAATATTCCCTCATCGAGAAAAAAAATATTTTTCTTTTTCGAAAATTTTTAAAATTTGGAGAAGTCTGTCACTGTAATACCTATAGTTCGGTCATTTAAAAAGTTTTTTGGCTGATTTTTTTACTGAACATTACTTACACTCCGTACTAGAAGCCATTGAAAGGATTATATAATTGAACAATAAATGACCAAGTTACAGACCGAACAAGGTGAAAAAAGAAAAATTGGGATTTTTGCCTACCACCAAAAATTCTTGTGAGTGTAGTTGATGATCATGGCAAGCTTTTTGGAACCGGATTTCTCTCAATTTTGAGTTTTAAGCTATGCTATGTGGCCTCAAACGACTTGGTGGTGAAATGTACAACTTTGGTGGTAGGCAAAAATCCCAATTTTTCTTTTTTCACCTTGTTCGGTCTGTAACTTGGTCATTTATTGTTCAATTATATAATCCTTTCAATGGCTTCTAGTACGGAGTGTTAGTAATGTTCAGTAAAAAAATCAGCCAAAAAACTTTTTAAATGGCCGAACTATCGGTATTACAGTGACAGACTTCTCCAAATTTTAAAAATTTTCGAAAAAGAAAAATATTTTTTTTTCTCGATGAGGGAATATTTTTAAAAATTTTTGAAGGTGTACAATCTTATTCCTTTTGTCTATTTAAAAATAATATAAAATAAAATCGATGTTCGGAGCAAAAACGGTTTTGGTGTATCTCCCCTTAAGTTGGTTTATTAAAGGATGAGGGGACCTTAGAAAAAGTTTTTTTCTCGTGCAAATCATATTATTACATTAATCGTAAAAACCACTTTAGTGAAATCCGCAAAGTTGTATTTCATTCGCGCGCCGAGATATCCAGCCAAAACAATTTGAACCTGTGACGTCAATTATGTGAGTTGCTCTGATCCGCGCATATAGAAATACAGGTAAAATGAGCGTGCGGGCTGACTAAATTACTAATTAAGAATACATAAACAATTTACAATACTAACAAGCCTATAGCCAATGGAGAGGAGACTTTTTATGACCGGTTGAAAAAAGAATTATCACCCTACGATAACCATGAGCCGAGATACACCTGAAATAAGATTGAAGTCACACAGAAAGGCATGTAAATTATGTATATTTATAGCTCCCAACGTAACACCTAGCAACTCCCTGTATCGTACCACAGTTGATATATCAACATGTCATATCAACACAACACGGTCCTAATAAAAACGGATCGGGTAGGTATGAAATGCATGTCTTCATTCCAGTTGGACAAGCACCAAGCACCAAGCTTTTAAGTTCTAACTCACTATGTGACACTATTTATAACGTAAGCAAGATTTGCAACTATTACACCAAGCAATATTATACCAAGCATAGCAGACGAACACATCCACATTCGTTACGCTTTACACTCAAGTCACAGCAAACTAAAACGGTAAATTATAAATGAGTGTACAACTAAAGGCCGGTACACGCGCAGTGCCAAACCGCACGTGCGCACTCAGATAGGACTAGAGGCGCCAAGGGCCAGCTAGTAAAATGTATTCTACTACATCATACATTCAATCGATTTTTAGATCTTCTGTTGCGGCGCTTTGCTGTCTTAAAAGTTTGTTCATTTGAAAGCTTTTTCACTATAAATATAAAGAGTGTCTTTATACATCATTCTACATACAACATTCTTTGGGATACTGGAGCTGAACGGACTGGGTAAAGGACGGCGCTTCAGACTACCACAGTGTGTGGTGAGAGTTATCCGCAGAATGTACCCCAGCAAGTCAGGCAAATATGTCGGATTTAAATCACTAAACGAACAAGTTTCGGAAAAGCTAAACATATATTAAGTGGGTCGGTCAACATATCTTCTATTTCATATGTAGTGCTCTGCCAATTGCAACACTTGATTTGATTGTGCTCTGCCGATTGCAACACTTGATTTTATATTGTTCGTCGCACATTTCATATGAAAATACATTCCTTTATTCTTGTATAAAGAAATATGCCGATTTTTAATTGTGTCCATATCGGGTTTCAAACAAGTCAAAACAAAATAGCAGTTTGTGGTTTAGTTAGCGGATGCTACTTATCTTAGCTATTTATAAATAGAAATACCTACTACAACTACAAGAAAGCCTTTCTGAGTTACATTTAACTATTAAAGAGAATTATTCGTAACTTAGACTAATTCAGTGCAACCAAAGATACCGCTCTCGCAAACGCCAAAGGTAACACGACGCAAGTAAAACAGAACAGGACAAATGGTTGACACGAGCGAAGGGTGTGCGCGCACGCACGTTGGTCTTACACATAATTGACGTCACAGCCCAAAATTGCTATCAGCCAATAGGAGCGCGGCGTGATATTGCACGAATTATCGATTTCACAGTCCGGCGTATTTTTTGATTCTACACACTTTCACAGGACTTAAACGCGAATATTTGAAAGTAAATTCTAAGGTCCCCTCATCCTTTAACAAGTTTTTAACCTTCAATTTAACACATGTAATGTCACGTGTGATCTTTACAAACCAAGATATTTTCCTATTTGCAAACATTTTTCAATCGCTGTCATAGCTGCTACCATCAGAGTCTGAGTCCGTATCAGCAGCCACTTCGCCCGAGTTGGGTGGAGCAGGCTGGTCAGGATTATCTAGATATATCGGGTCTAAACCTTCCATTCTCATTTTTGAATGCAGAGCCGCGGGAGGTATTCCCATGTGCACCATCTTGAAATATTTTGCATACCGTGGATCTTTGCTGACTGGTGTGTATTCTGAAATGGGAGAGATACTGAAGGTCACTAACTTAAATAAGCGGGAAAATTAAGCAAGTCAGTGATAAAAGGACGTCAAATCCTTTTGATATTTTCCCAGTACAACATAAAGTGTTACGCACATATCTACCATACACGATATAGGGTTAGGGTTATATATACATGGTCCAGTTAGGAACTTCTCAGTCAGATAGCACCAATACCCAATTAGTTACATAGTTAGTTAAATAGTTACAAGAAACAAGTAGACCTGAATAATGTATACCTGGAGCTGGTTCAGAAGCAGCAGCAGCAGTAGCAGCGGGCTGCTCATTCTCTTCCTCTATCTTATCAGCAGGTACAACAGGAGCTGACTGTACCGTCTGTTCAACTGGGACTGCTGTGTTGTTATCCTTGCTAACAGCTTCCTCTAGCTTGACCCCCTCAAGTTCAGGAATGGAGGCTAGTTTAGCCTCTAATAACAGGAGGGTTGTTTGGATTTGTTGGGTACGGCGGTCTACCTCTGCTAGTTTACTCTCAGCTTGACACGCGAATCTGTTCAAATGTCCTGTCATCTGGGGGAGTCTCTAGGTTAATATTTAGTGAATTTAGTGAATTTATGTTTATATTCAGCACAGAATGAAATGGAAAACTTTAGCAATACGACGTATCTATAATACACTGTTTAAAACATGAAACTACAATATCCAACCTGTATAATGAAATGGTTGATATAAGCAAGTGTTCGTTTGTGCTGTAAAGGTTCTAGAAGCTTCAAGTCCAGACTCTGCCCCACAAGTGGGACTCCATCTGCGTCCATTACCTTGGCCACGTGTTCTGGACCACGTGTTTTGAGGAAACTTCACATTCTACCTAGTACCTATAAGTACCGCTCAAGTTATAGTTTTATCCTTATAAAAGCCTGATTGTCATGTGATCCGAGCATTACAAGTTTCACGTCAAGTTTCAATTTAGAATTAATGTACTAGATCAAACTCAAAATATGTTCCTTTTCTTATACTTTGGTGTCTAATTTAATGAATATGCAAACAGTAGCGATATTGACAGTTAGCAGTTGATACTGGGTGATACAGTGAAAATAACAAGTTTTATGAACTCCTCATAATTTTAAACAAGACAACAAAACTATCGATAAACCAAGGACTTCGACTAATCACAGTTTTCATAAATTAATATATCATACAAAGTTGGGTGGGATTGTCCGCTTAAAAACGCTAACTCCATCACTGAGAAGGAGCGAGAAGGGACAGACTAGCGATACACTGGTTGATATTCGCCTCCTCCTGTTCAGCGGAGATACTAGCGATAACCTCCTTCTCCAGCCAAGCCACGATGTGGTTCCTGATGAAGGCCTTCTTGGTGTTCTCTAACTCAACCTGGTAGTCCAAACGCTTCTTTACTTCAGTGTGGACGGTCTTTATTCGGCGTCTGTATTCCGCTTCGATCTCTATTTGGACCAGTTCACGTTTGATGTCGAAGATGTCGCCGGCCAGCTGGAGACTTTCGATAGCAGCCTTTTCTTCGGCAATGGCTTCTTCGTAGGCAGCAATCTGAACCTGTTTACCTGACAAGTTTATCACGTTAGAACTTTAACAGAAAACACTGCAGATATTCATGGAACTCCGGGTAACAATGTGACTGGCAATAAAATTAGATTAATATAATACAATTATAGGCATCATGTAGCCTCCAGGCTCGACAAACCCCGACAAACCCCGACAAACCCCGACATATCCTTCAACAAACCCCGACAGACCCCGACAAACCCCGACAGACCCTGACAAACCCCGACAGACCCCGACAAACCCTGACAAACCCCGACATATCCCGACAAACCCTGACAAACCCCGACAAACCCCGACAAACCCTGACATATCCCGACAAACCCTGACAAACCCCGACAGACCCCGACAAACCCTGACAAACCCCGACAAATCCCGACAAACCCTGACAAACCCCGACAAACCCCGACAAACCCTGACAGACCCTGACAAACCCCGACAGACCCCGACAGACCCCGACTATCCCGACAAACCCTGACAAACCCCGACAAACCCCGACATATCCCGACAAACCCCGACATACCCCGACAAACCCTGACAAACCCCGACAAAACCCCGACGTGTCGAGATGTGTCGTATCATGTCGGGCCCACCGGCTACATGATGCCTAATTATATAATTAATATTTGCAATTTCAAATAGATAATGGATTATTGAAGGTGTGCACTGCAAATATCTCTTCTCCACCCCCGATCCCGACCAACTGATTTATCTCGAATGTTTTAACAAAAGATCTTTTCTTCCTAAAAACATTCCCAGAAAGTTTATTGTCATTATCAGATGACAAGTCGATAATGTAGCGACTTATAACTTGAGAAAATAGCAGTTTAGATAATTACATATTTTGCAGGCATTTTAGCTTTTAAATAAACACTTGTGTTGGCCGTTGGGATCTAATGTTACAAAGTTTAAAACACTGAATACAATTGCATCATTATGTTCAATTATGCTCATGAAGTTATTTATTGTGTAATGTAACATAATGTAAGTTACGATGTTGAACAATCTAACCTGAGAATACCTAATCTCTAAAGGCTTACAATTTGGCAATTTGTTCAGCTTGATTGCGGTGTTTTTTGTCTCCGCATTTTCCGCACATAAAACAATTTAAGCAGGTGTGGAATAACACTATTTGCAAAATAGTGAGTTGCCTCTGATCAATATCCGGTACAATACATCGTGTCGGCATAATTAACATTATTTTTCATGAAAATATAGTTTTATCATAACTGGAATGAAAAACCAATATTGATCCTTAGTAGTGATTACTCAAGGCGCTCGAGTGAAAAAGTCGCTTCGGGTTATATATAATATATAAATAAATAAATAAATAAATTCTAACATTTATTACACGCTTCGACATTAAAATATACCCAACAAAGATGTACATTAAAGTCATTCAAGCGAGACTTAGTGTTGAAATAGCAAGATTATGGACTTTTTAAACAGTTCAGATTTTATGAACAAATATTTGTATGAAGTTACCAAAATTATGCACTTTCATATCAGTTCAGACATTATGGACAAATATTAGAAATATTATCAAAAGCTAGTTGGAAATAAAACGTCTTTAGGGCATTTTTAAAACATTCTACAGATGATAATGATCTCACTGAGTAGGGTAATTCATTCCAAATTTTTGGTCCACAAAACATAAATGCAGCATCTGTTCGTCTGAAATGAGGAGCAGGAGGAACTTTCAACAAATAAAAGTCATCATCTAGTCTGGAACTTTGTCTTCGTACTTCCCTTAGATTGACGTGTCCTTGTAAGTACTGAGGGGCTATGTTATTAAGACACTTGAAGACCAGAAGTGATATTTTGAACTTAATTCTGAACCGAACAGGCAGAAAGTGGAGCTTTTTGAGGTAAGGCATGATAGGTTCACGTATCTTTTTTCCGTAAAGACCAAAGATAAATCTAGCAGCATTGTTCTGTATCTTTTGTAGCTTATGAAGATTCTTTTCTGTTATTCCATAATAGACTGAGTTGCAGTAGTCTATGAAACAGAGGATATTGGAGTGAACTAACTGAACTTTTAGGTCATGGGAAAGCTTCGAACCGATTCTTGCTAAGTCCCTTTGATTCAAATAACATACTTTGGAGACAGCATTTATTTGAGAGTCCAGATTCATTTGGTGATCGAAAAGGAATCCCAGGTTCTTGGCTTTGCTAACAGGGCAGATTGAGAGGTCTCCTAAATCCATTGTCTGGATTGGGCTGACATATGGTCCTATATCAATGAACTCTGTTTTTTCGTCATTCAGTTTTAGGAAGTTAACTGTCATCCATTGCTTTATCTCCAGAAAGCAATTTTTCACAGCTGTTAAATCAGGATTAGAACTGTGAACATCAAAAGTAAAGTACACCTGTGTGTCATCTGCATACAAATGTATCGAGAAACCATATTTTGTGACAATTTCTTCAAGATCTCTGGTATACAATATGAACAGTAGCGGTCCTAAAATGGATCCTTGAGGTACACCAATATCCAGATAGCCTTCAGAAGATGTGGCTTTTTTTACTTTAACCTTGAATGTGCGATTATTAAGGTAACATTGTAACCAGCTGAGTGCTAGTTCTGTAATACCATACGCATTCTTGAGTTTCGTAAGAATGAGGTTATGGTTTATGGTGTCGAAAGCAGCTGATAGATCTAAGAGTAGAAGCACAACATTCGATTTGCTGTCAATCATCATTAGAATATCATTATGTATTTTGGTAACTGCAGTTTCACAACTATGGAATTTTCTATAGCCTGATTGATATGGGGAAAACAGGTTGTTGACATCAGCATATTCATTTAATTGGCAATGAACTACTTTTTCTAGTATTTTGGACAGATAAGTGAGATTGCTAATCGGTCGATAGTTTTTCAGCTCATCAACATCTAAGGTAGGTTTCTTGAGTCCAGGCCTAATAGATGCTTCTTTTAGGGCAGAGGGAAACTTTCCGACTCTTAGTGATTCATTCACGATGTAATGGATGATTGGGAGAAGCTCGGGTAAGCAGTTCTTGAAGAGCCACATTGGTATGACATCGAGTACGCTTGATTTATTGGGAAGACTCTTAATTAAGGTTTCAAGGTCTGATAATGAGACTTCCTTAAACTGATTAAGTCTACACTTTGCATTATCTATCGAAGTAGAGTCCTTGGTACCTTGACCGTTTAGGGAAGTGTTTTGAATTTCCTTCTCAATATTAGAGTAAATGGTCTTTACTTTTTGATCGAAGAAAGTCTTGAGTTTGGCAGCCACTTCGATATCTTCACCATTTGGTAATTTGTTGGAGCCATATTCCTTATCTAAAAGTTTATTTATGACTTTATAGGTCCCTTTCGAGTCTCCTTTGCAAGAACTGAGCTGTTTATCATAGTAGCCATCCCTAGCTCGATTGATAGTGATTTCTGCGTCAACACATTTTTCAAAATGAGTAGTTTTAAACTCATCATTCTCTGGATACTTTTTGGCTTTTCGTTTTGCCCTTCTCCTCTCTCTGACAGCAATTTGACATTTATTATCCCAAAAATCAGACTTTTCAGCAGTAAATCGTTTCGTAATAAGTGGGGCATGTTTGTCTAGCACCTGTTCAAGGACATTTTGATAAAGGTTCACAGCCTCGTCTAAGGATTGATATTCAGAAAGGTTAAGCTCTGAACAAAACAGATCTTCCCTGAACTTATCGATGTCAATTTTGCTTAGCTCTCTGACATCTTTTTCTTCATATGTACGAGCTTTATGAAGATCGAATGTGACTGGGACCTGAAAACTTACTAGATAGTGATCAGAGCTGGTTCCAGTGCTTGTCTCTACCATCATATCTGTTACAGACAATGAGTCACTTACACAGCCTAGAGTAAATAACAAGTCCAGTGTCCCGCCGGAGATGTGAGTAGGAGAGTCGACATGCTGAAGGAAGCCTTTGCTCTCACAAAGAGCAATAAAGTTCTGGGCAACATTATTGTATATGTCTTCAACATGGAAATTAAAGTCACCACAAATAATTGGAGATCCAGTTTTAAGCAGAAGATTGTCCAGGTATCCATCAAAGTCATCCATAAACTTAGATATTTTTGTTTCATCATATTTCACTTTGGCCTGAGTGCTGCGATAAACTACACATAGCCTGATAATCTCACCAGCAGTTTTAATGACACATTCAAGTACTTCAAAAGATGAATATTTAGTAACGTCATTGCGTACAGGCGATATCATTTTGGGGTTGAAGAGAAAACCAACACCACCTCCCCTACCTCTTCGAGGGGCACTGATAATATCGAACCCAAAATCACGGATTTCGG